ATGCTTTTTAAGTATTTTTTTTTAATCTGGTAAAACAATGATAGACTCTGTAGTCCCTTTCTAAAGTAAAGGTTGCAAAGAAAAGCATCAGCAATTTGCCACATTTAATAATAATTTGTTATACTGTATATAAAATACTACCATTAAATATATCTTCATTTTATTGGTCAGCTACCCGTTATGATCTATTTGATTAGAAAAACAAACACATAAATAAGGTCTTCTCGAGAATAACTGTCTCATTGAATATTTTGGGGGGTTTCAAAAAGGCTTCCCCTTCGTAAATAATACACAAAGTGAGAAACTCAATCCAAGATACTAGAATGTTTAATTCATCATTATGCGAGCTAATTGGAGGGTGATTATATGGTAATTGCTCATTAGCGGTGTATATTTATCGCTGTACCTTATGTCAAGGCCATGGGAATTGTGTAGAGTTTGTTCTCTCATTTCAAGGATCAGTTTCAGAAGCAATTGGTGAAACGGGCTAGATCAAGTTTTTTTCTTGACGTCAGGTTCCGCCAGCAGGACCGGAGATCTAAGCTATAAATATTAGCTCAAAAAGCGTGGACTGGGTGGGAGCCGGTAGTCTACGTGCTGTGGGGGTGATGTAGAGGATGCCGTTAGCGCTGTGTATTGGAGAAAGGGAAACGTTTGGGCACGCTCTAAGATCAAAGACTTAAGGAAGCAGTCGTGAAAGACAAGAAAGAAAACTTTCAGGAAGAGGAGAACTAGGAGAAAATGATGTTTTGTTCTCGCTTAGGTTACTGACCCTAATAACATTCTGTAATGGTTATCTAATAAACACGGATATTGTTGTCAGTGGTATGTACAGTATATTTCTCTATCCGCAAGAGGTCTACATCCGAAATATTACATGGCTTTCATTACAGAATATTTGAATCGCAGGATCAATTAATCTTCTTAGATATAATCTTAATATAAGATTATATATATATATATTATATGAAGGGGTATTTAACAAAAGACAAAAATATGAAATTAGGGGAAATGTCTTGTTATGCGCTTTCAAATACCATGTTGCTGATTTTTTAAACCGGCGCTAATGTTTTACTTTCAACTTTGTAAAAGTTCGGGTTGTCTTAGTGAATACTTGAAGGGTTTAAACATTGAAATCTCAGATATTAATTTATCCTTCTCAATAAAGATACTAGAGATTTCTCCCACCTGGTCAGATTCGAAATGTTCAAATTAGCTTTTGTTTGTAGTGTTCAGAACGACACGCCTCACTTTTGTGGTTATTTCAAAGAGAACAATTAACGGAGAGGCTAGACGATTAATAGTTTCCCAGTCTGTAAGCGTGACAGAGTTAAACCGTTTTAGCTATTAAGAATGTCCCGCCAGGACAAGGTATCGCGCAGAGCAGGGTTAGATCTCGGGTCACTGGGTTCTCAATACGCCCATTTCCAACGCACAGCGGGATTGTTTGGAGAAGTCAATCAATTGATAGATGAGGTCTAAGTCATTACTAAACTCTGATAAAGTAAGTAAAGGGTATAGGAAATGAGAGGGCACTGGTACATTCAGCTTACCTATCTACAGAAAATCGATCTATGAAAACGATCTGACAGAGACGCTTTACACGGGTCCAGGTTTTCTTCTAATTCCCTGGTCCACGTTTGTGCGGCAGAATTCCGAAGACTTCGCATCAACTTGCTGAACCGTAAATTCATTCCAACTGCTTTCTGTGGATTATAAATACGCTTTCATATTCAGGTACATCATCACGTATTTCAAACAGATTGCAACGAATCCGTTCTCTGTAACTAAAACCTAGTTTCAAACAGCAACCACTCATAAACATTTGTGTTCGTACTGGGAACAGTGGAATCAACAAATATCACAACAATGTGTTTTGTTAACAAATGTCTATTTTGGGACAGAAGTATTAAAAATATGTTGTATCATATTGTTGTTCAAACAATTGTTCTTGTTTGGCAGTATATTGCGTTATTTAAACAACAATGTGCACTGTTGCTTTTCGAATACTGCACGAATGCAGCAACAACAGTTTTACAGAAGAGTAGAAGTTTTGAAAAACGTTGCCTAGGTTTCTACCACGGATAAGCGTATAAGGAACCCCGCAATAAAAGTGCAACTATACACACGATTCTTGTTCAATTTTTTTTTTTTGGGGGGGTGCGATATGGGTAAACGGATTGTGAATCTTTGCTACTACATTGCCTTATAACAGAGATAACACATGTCAAAATCAATGTGTCAGTTTATCTGAAATATACTTTTATAGCTTATAATTTAATTTTGAAAGTACCGGAGTACTCTAGGACATGGGTAGCAGACAGGACTCACGCACTGTACACTGCGCAGCGAGCTGTAAGTCCCGTTGTGTTACTTTTAGCATTGAAATATCAAAGGAATTAAAATACAGATTTTTTGTTACTACTACGTGTCAAATAGTCATATCAAAAGCAAAATAGATTGAAAGCAATTAATCAGCCCAGAAATATGCTACTAAATGTTTTGCTTTCAAAGTACCCAAGGAGAATTTAGGTAGGCAAATAAAATAAAAACTGTTCAATGGAGGGTGTGGTGTACAGTCACACAGAACATCACACTAGAATATTTCAGTTGAAGACAAAGAAAAATATGCCTTTTATTGTTGTAGCCAATTAAATACATAAGATGCAAAACAGGATATAGACGCATCCAAATGAAGAAGAAAAAAATTAATAAACTAAACGAAACGCTAATGAGGGGGCTGTCCCGTCTATTGAGGAAGAGAGAGGGGAGAAAGTGCGCCAAATTTGTTTGCAGTGGATCAAGGCTCGCCGCCTTTGCTGCACTTTCTTTATCTTAATTCCAACTTGAAAAGATATAATTATCTAGTTTGAACAGAGCCGCTATCAAATCCTTCTTTAGGCAGAGAAGGGAAAAGCTAGAGTGGATTGCAGCGCTCTGAGCTGCTTGGTGTAGCCCGAGATAGGAGTAATGAAGTTGTGGAGTCCTGAGATACAAAGGGCATTAACCTCATTAGCATGAAACCTTTTCTTCTAACTATTGTGGGACCCTTTCAGCCTCCTAATCCCCCTATTTCAAAGCTGGGTTTGTAATAAAGCTTTTAGGGGGTTTTCAAAGCTAATGGTATTCTCTGAAGATTTTTATTGCCGTTATAGCGCACAGACCGCTTTAAAATTTCCCTCATGGTTGTATGTTTAGCTCATGTACGAAAGAAAAACCAAAAGCAAAGAAAAAAGCATCTTAATAAAATTGAAAAACAATACTTTGCTACTGAAAAAATATTTAAGTTGGATTTGATTTGGTATCTTTAGGTAACGTTCAACTGAGGGAATATTATAACCATGGCACTTATTTTTTTACAATAATGTAAATATGTCTTTATGTATACACACGTGTACAATTTGCATGTATAGTCTGCACAGAGACTGCCACATGCTTGATAGCTGTTGTACTGTTGACTGTGCTCTAAACGCAAATGCTTAGAGCACTTTGCTCCTTTGCATGCTTTGTCTTTTGCAGGAAAAACGTCAAAAAACAGAAATTGTAGTTTCATCGAATTTCGACGTTAGATAATAGGCTGCTGTAAATACCAGTTGTTAGGTTTCCTTTGTTTCAGTGTTCTTTTGCGTCTGGGGTATAAGTATTATTACGTGGTGCGTGATTTATTCCCTAGTATCTTTTAAGGTATACTTGCAAGACAGAAGTTATATACTTTATAAGAAACGAAATCGTTGTGAAGTTCGTGGCTTGGCTCAGTGTAGTCAACGTGGATTGTAAGTATTACCGCAACTTCCCCAAAATAGGGAATGTCCTCCCTATTTTTATTAAGATGAGTACTTTTTGAACCGGTGCACCATGTTGCTAGTGTGTGTGTCTGGATTGCGCATTGTGTTTTCAACTCGTCAGAGACCTCCTCCTGCGCTATGTGTAGGATGCTTTAATAAATTTTAAATAGTTAAATTGTTAACTAGGGGAAGAATGCATGTTTTGTTTATAACGCAACACTTTGCATTTGACAGTGAAATACAAGTATGATGGCGAATTCATTCTGTTCTATGAATCTAATTGATTCGCGATTACATTTTAAAAAAAATCTATTTACAAATAATGTTAAAATGTTAAATTGAAGAACCAGCGCGTGCATGCATATCCCAATCAACGCAGGCAAATACACGACTTCAAACAAAGCTTCTATTTTTGCTGCACATTGTAACCTTCCCTTATCACATCGTAAGGGGTAGTCAGATTGTCCTAAATTATGTCCAACCAAGCCCCCCTGGATCCATGGATTAAGAGATTAAAGCGAACCACTGGGCAATGCATCCCCTTTCCCCCTCATATTACTCGTATGATAATTGCCTAAACTGATTTGCACTTTCACAAAAGCTCGCAGGACTCTTTGTAGCTTGAACAGAGCAGACGTTGCTCCTCTATCAATGGAAATAAAACTGATTAATGCCGTCTATCAGGATAAGAAGCAAATGAAGCATGAAAAAACAACCACTTGCCCCAGAAAACGGAGCTTTTTATACTCGAGAACTGGTAACAGCATTCTTGAAACGTTACATTTTTTACCATTTCTGTTTAACCGCCATTTATTTTCACTCTGATGTATAATCCCTGCGTTGAAAAAAGCACACAAATATCTCAAAATAATCTGATGATAAACTCCATTGCCGCGAGAAAACTACTTTAATCCACATTTACTTATAATTAACTGCACTAATGGCTATTATCAAATAACATGGAGGATAAAAGGGAATAAATGCAGTCGTGTCTGCGCTACCTAAATTGTAGATTCAAAAAATAGAAAGAATCAGTGGATATCTGTTCATTTCTGAAGCTTTCCTCAAATGCCCACAGGAATTATTCCGAATTGCATGTAATATTTGCTTTTCTAAAAGAAATGTTAAACATAAAGCCTTGTCTCTCGATCAACTTCATTCTAAAAAAATAAAAAAATAAACCTCTAATCTGGAATAAAAAATCCATAATCTTACTCTGAGCAGCATATTGATAAAACTTTATTGACAAAATATTGACAATGACATACTTCTTGGAAGTATACTTTGTGTTAAAATTGTAGCAAACTTAACACAAAACACAAAAATATTTACATTCTGGTAAAAGAGGACTTAACAGAAACATCGTTAACTTTTAGTACCTCTATACATGGAATACGCTCAGTGCTTGAGATCTTGCTGCCCGTATGGCCGTCAAAAATTACATTTAGTCCTTCGTGGCAACTTATAGAGGGGCAAATCCTGCCAAGAACAATGTCGCACCAAGGTTACGGAGACATGGTAAAGCTTTAGGTTAAAGGGGAATGTCCTGAATACTTTAATTTATAGGACTCGATTTCTGGTGTATTATAGTAAACTTTCAAAAAGTTTTATTTTAAAAAACACTATAACGCAGCACTGCTACTTCATATTGCTTTCACAATCACTTTGACACGAGAAGTAATTCATAGACTGCACACTGTTGTAAAAAAAGGAAGAAGCACACATAACGTCTCTTTTGAACATAAAATTAAATTTTAAAACAACCTCCTTTAAAAAAGAAATTAAAAAAAAAATCTTTCGGCTACCATGCAATTCAAGTTTAGTTTACAAAAACAGGTGTGAGTTTTGGTTTCTGTGTGAAGCGTTCATCTTTAGTTTAGAATAAAAAAAATCTCAGAAGTGCAAATGTCCGATGTGAACTGGAGTTTTGTAGCTGGTGTTTGGTGGTGGTATGGGGGGCTTGGTGTTTAAGTGGACTGCGTAAAATGTAATACCTGTCAATCATCTCGCCTTGGTGCTTTGAATTTGATTGACAGTTCCATGCCAGGGTTCTGCCAGCAGTGCCACAGTTTGGACCTCTCTCACCCTCAGCTGCCGTTTCCCAAAGAATAGTATTTTTGATGGTAGTCTTTACCCTTTAATTCTGCAACACAGCACTCTTGCTCGTGTTATCCTTCACGCCGCTGTCCCCAGGTTCTGATAACCAGTCTTTAATCGTCCGAAGTGACGTCAATTTCCTCGGGGCTCGACTGCTTGGTCGCAAGCCTCCACCGATTGATGTGATGGGTCCCCTTCTTTTTCTGTTGGGAATCTGAGCCTTCCTCTTCCAATTTCTGTCGTTTAAATTTCGTTCTTCTGTTCTGAAACCACACTTTTACCTGATGAGAGAGGAAAAAAACAACAACACATTGACATTTCAGTGTGAACTGTATCGGTGTTAAGGACATTGAAAAAGGTTAAATTAATCTAAAAAGTGTTCGGGTGCAACGCTTGTCCACGACTGCAGATTGAGAATGCTATTAGCGTACCGTGAAAAGCACTGCGAATGTTTTGTATTTGTGTTTAATAGCAGGATATTTATTACTTAGCTCCCCTCCCCTAACATACAAAAACACAGACACGTGTGTTGGAGAGGGCGCTGGTTGTGAAACTGCGTGATCGATTTTGTCTCGTTTACTAACATTAGCACATTCGCTTCTGAGCTTTAAAACTATTGTTCACCATTGCTTCCTCTCTCTAGAAGACCGTTTTCCCATTTGAGAAGTCAATGATACTTATCACAAAATGGTGGATTAGTTTTCAGAAAAAAAACACTGGAGTTAAAGCATCTAGAATACGAAAGCAATAAACAGAAACACAAACAGCTCAAACGAAACGTTTGTTTCTGGTTCACCTGTACTAACTCCACAGAGACCACCACGTATAATCTGTCCTTTGTAATGTACTCAGCGAGTGCATTAAATACATAACCTTACTTCTGTATCAGGTAGTGGGCTCACCTGATCTACCTTTAGCAGGTTGAATTCCAAATTAAGGTTGTATCCTTTTGATGATTAAAACCCATTACGTTCCACGTTATATATCAAATGTAAATAGAAACGCACGCGCCAGGGCAATTAAAATCGGCAATATTTTATATTTTGTACCACAAGTAAGAATACTTTAAAGGATGTTAAAATCTTATAGGTTGTCCAAAGAAAGTACAAAATAAAAAGGGTTTGGCATATTTCTTATTGGAATTCGCTTATCTAATTTTAAAACATTATTCATATTATACAAAAGTCTGTGATCTGAGAGGCTGGTCTAGAATAAAGGTACGTTTAATTTGCTTTCACACTCCTAATTGAAGGGGATGCCAGTTCATTTCTCTAGACTGATTTCCAAAAGGACCTCGTTTGTAAAAGAGCTAGGGCTGACACTGGGACAAAAGACCCCGACCGGTCTACAACCAACCAGCACAAAGACCACCTTAAATACAGCTCGCCGGGGGGAAATTAATTCCGACCGCTCCCTGCTTTAAAATATCTCCTAGAAAACCGACACAACCTTTTTTTGCCTCAAAGACCCTTTCAAAAACAATGACATCAAAACCAGGTTTGCCCCAAAAAAGGGGGTTACAACATAATCCCGTGCAAAATAAAATAAAAAACAACAGAAAGATCATACGAGAGAGAAGATTACAGACGGGTCACTCATCATTAGAAACTTCTGTCTCTGACATGTAAAAACTCATAAAAATATGAATCAACTGACCCGGATCTCTCTATCTTTGTCTAATTAGGGACTGACAATTTCACTCAACGAATAACGAAATATTTAATAATACTAATAACAATAATAATAATAACGTGATCAAGGACATATTTAATAGGTTGTGTATTAAAGTTTTGTTTTCTAAAATCTAGATTTTATGTTATAGTTACACAAAATATAAATATTTTTTATTTTTCCTTTAAATCGAATCGCAACATTAGCTTTTTAATTAAAATTTAAAAATTATATTTTGTGCATTCTAGATCGGCACTGAAATTTCGAATTTAAACTCGACTGCGCAGAAGAGACGAGGTCTCTTTGCGGCAATTCCGCGGCCTGTCCACAGCTTTTCAATGAAGTAATCTTTCAACAGCCTAAATCTGTAGAGTGCATCATACAAAGAAAACAAACCAAAAACCATCAAGAAATTGGTTGTGTACACTTGCAATATCTACTATTCTAATATTGTGAATCAGGTCTTCTTTAAGGTATTCTGTAAAAGCCGCGAGACAATTTTCTCTTTCGACTTAATCAACATTTGTGTATCAAAAACATTTTAGTATACCGTTAGGGAGGGTATACCTGTATATATACGTTTCGTTTTTGCGCTCCGCGAAATATTTTCTTACCTGAGTTTCTGTGAGACTAAGGCTGTGTGCAAGTTGTTTTCTTTCTGCACCGACAACATAGTGATTTTTTTCAAAAGCGTGCTCCAGCCGCAGTAGCTGAGAAGGAGAGAACGCTGTCCGAATCCGTTTGGGTTTTCTGGCCAGTGCATTATGTAAAAGGAAGCTTTCCGGGCTTGTTTCGTTCCCTGTGTAGCAACAAGAAAGATAGCAATTAGGTTTCCTTTTCTTTCAGACTGACAACATTCAATTCCACTTTTAAGTGATAGCCTGTGATTACACTGTCTTTGACTTACAGCCTCTTTTATTTCCCGATTCACAAAACAAAGACTAAAATCGACTGCATTAAGAAATGCACGCACACGTATGCACACAAAAGGTTAATTAAAAATAACCAGCTTTTTCCCCTTGGTAAACGTCACCACTGCCGCAGTTCTTATATATATTATTTTCCGCTAATCAACGGTGGTATTTCATATCCAATCGATGAAATGTTGTTTTTGATCGGTAGAACCCTGCATTTGGAAAATGTGAATTTTAATAATTGGACTTAAAACATTTAAAATTAAAATTATCTGTGTACATTTGTTCATTTTTTTTAAGTTGTTAGTCTAAATATACATTTAGCCACTCAACGTGCCAGCGACTTGTGTTCATACATAATATGGCATATATATATCTTTGGAGTGACAGCTGAGGTGCGCTTACCTTCATTAACAGTGCCAAACTGAACTCAAAAGCGCACAACGAATTTACAAGGTTGGTCTGTACCTTTTACTTTCACCAAGGGAGTTTGCTACAAATACGTATAGAAGTAAAACGAAGGGTTGGTCTCGTTTTGAACACGCATACCCGTTTATAAAAATAATAGAACATTTCAAAGATGTCTGCAAGGGCCATAGTAAATTTATACAAGTAACACAAGGTTTGCATTATTATTGGTGCTATTATGACAGTGATGGTACTGGTGTAGATGAGTAGGTTCTGAAATATTTTAGACTTAAGCTCAGGTGCTTTACAATTCAAGTGTCAGCGTAAACTTAAATAGTTTTGTTACACTTTACTTCAAAGTGTTAAATTGATGTATTTCATAAGATAATATTTGACATCCGATTAGCCTGAACGCATGAACTTCAAAAAAGCAAGAGTAAGCGCAAAGAATGTTAAAACTGTGCAGATCTAACGTTTCATTATTAAACTAATTATTATTACTTTTGAATTACAATAAAGACTACAATTTCAGTCGGAAGGGAAAAAAACGCTACCCCAAAAAACTGAAACACTTATAAGAATATTAACATCTAGTTAAAAACACCACTTGTATTAATAATATTTGCATGGATCATTCTGAGCTTTTAATTAAAAGTAAATCGAATTTATTTTAAATGGAACAGAAATGTAAACTTTCGTTTAATAGATTTTCTATTACCATTGTCGTCTTGTAGATGATCTTCAAACGAATAATGTTTCTACTTTACAAACCAAAAACATAGTATATACATCAATACGATAACAGGAAATTCAAAGGGATATTTTCTTTTAAATATTTGAGAATATCTGCGGCCTTTCTGTTCGACGTTCTTTCATATATAATAAAACCGACTTCAAATAAATTAAAATCCTAAAATAGAGTCTAGATGAAAATGGGAGTTAAACCCACTACTTAATGTATGCGGCCCTACTAACAGTACATGCCACAAGATGTATTTCGCAATAAAGACACAGAACCTTACACTTCCCCACACTAATGAACTTAATAAGTTAAAATGAACTTGGAATCTAAAGTTTAGGACTACCTACAATACAATTTTCCCCAGATCACATTCCTTGTCCTTTCTTAAAAATATAATTAGCACTTAAAATAACCAGAAAAAAACACAATAGTTTTTAGTATTTTTTTTCTCGACTTTCAAAAAAGGCCTGGTGAAAATGTTTTCATGAAATGTTAATTATATATGTACAACGTAAATTAAGACTTCTTTTGGCCTAAAATATAATTTCTTTTAATGTTTGAAGTTTAAATCTTTCATGGCACGCGTTCAAACACAGTCATATCACATTCTTGTCCACATATACTTGATACGTTAAAGCTATATTGAAAAGATAACAGAATAAACACAGTCCTACCTTGAAATCTATGCCCCAGATATCTATATCTATGTATTAGCCACGGATAGAAAGTTGAGGGGTCCCTTTGCTGACTGGCAAAAAGTGGGTGAGGGCTGTGAGAGGAAGAAAGGGGGTGAGCAGCCAGAGCGTGCGGAGGGGGCACGGGATGAACCGGGACTGCGGAGTTTGGAGGATGTGAAACCGCCTCAGCGAACACCAAGTCCGGATTAGAGTAGACGCCCCTGCCGCTGGAATGGAAGCCGTTCAAAAACGGGTTCATCTGGGTTGAATTTGCATAGCTGAGGGCTGCTGGTCTGATGGGCTCCTCGGATCTCGAAGCCGGCAGTGGATTATCCTTCGCTACCAACGATTCTATCGTAAAACACCTCTTCGGTGTTGGTTGAAACATGGTTTACCAGTCTAAAGATCCCCCAGCGCAAGTCTCAAAAACAGGCAATCTCGTTAAAAATACTCCACGCAAGATGAAAGTTTCTGCTGTGATTAAGTAAGGAAAGCAACAGAAAGCAGGTAGAAGGGTAAAAGTCTTCAGAAAGGTGGTCGACTAGTCCACAGACAATCCATGGATGTGATCAGTTCTTCTCCAGTTGTGCAAACGATTTGTTAGTTCATGAGCCTAATTAGTGCTGGAATCACATAAACAGCTTCCTCTGAAGCCTGTAATGGCTTGATGATTGGTCGCTATTACTCGCCTTAAGGTTGAGGGAAGACTCTTGACTAAGTGCGTCAAAAGGAACACTGAGCACGGAGAGGCGGATTCAAGGAAAACGGAATGGATTCGTTCAGAACCAGACCTACAGCAATTTACATACACGGCAGAGCCAGTAGAAAACCAGGAGCGATTTCATCAAGTTTAAGTGCATATACATTAATGAGGGTATGCTATAATCCAGTTTCTATTTTTAATCTTTTAAAGGTAAAGGTTTAAATGAGCGATCATTTAAGAAGAGGATGCTTATATGGATTTAAAAATGTACATGATGCTCCAAAAGGTATTTTATGTCTTATGAAAACAGCTGGTCAAAAGAAAAGGAAGGTAGATTTATATTTACTTAAGGAACTTGTTATGCTTGGCATTTCTTGGGGTTTGTATATCACATAGCACAGCGTGTTATCATTTTTACAGTTGTTTTGCGCGTTGTCTAACTTGTTTCAGCCTTTTTAATTTTTATTTTTATTTTGAGACGAACCCCGGTACCGCTTATTCTGATGTTTTAATACCACTTTGTTTCCAATTTTTTTTCTCTCTCCGCGTTTTCTAGTTCTCCGACCGTTTTGGGATTAATTTGGGGGTGAAGACTCCTGTGTTTCTATTGGCCGGAGCGCTGGGAAGAGGCTGATTAGATCCACACAGTGTTTGCTGCTGTTTGTTTGTTGGTAGTTAAGAATCTATTATCCATTCATCAGTCACTCAATTTTACTAAATAACATTGCTTATACGTGTAGCACTTGAAGGTATTTTCTGCCTTTATAATTCTAAAATAAAGTTTGCCTATTGGCAGAGTAACTGTCTATAACTGTACACAATTCACAGGAGGTGTCGTTGTGTGGGTATGAACATACATGTATATGATGTTTACGTAGAGACGTGAATAATGAAATGCACATTATCACACCCTTTAAGATTATGTTAGCTTTTAAGTTATTGTGTTTCACGACATAACTGTCCACTCAGGGACAGAGTATCAGAGCTCGGAATTTTCTATAAAGGACTTATTGTTCAAAATCTCCCATATTAAAAGCAACACGAAATGATATTGAATCATATACGTAATGTCACCCATAAGGCAAGAGACATGAACGCAATTTAATTTTGTAATTTTGAACACTATTTTGGAAAAATTAGTTTAGGAAATGAAAGGTAATGGACACGGATACGTTTTCAGTACCTATGGTTGAGACATTAGAGCAATGAAGCAGATCTTTTTAAAAGCAAATCCACCGGAATTGAGTTGCTACATAAACCTTGGGATATTGTGAGACGTGCTAAAATGCCCAGTTAATACCATGTGTTTTGAGGAGAGAAAAAGTTAGCGACATGTTAAATTCAATATGTGGTCATTGGACATTAGATATTCTCGACTGAACGTCACTGCGTAATGAAGGTCTGGTGCAATGCTTAGAATTCAGATTCAGTTTTTAAATTATTGGGCCTGTGACTCCAATTATAATGTTTAATTCAAAAACGGTCTCTGCTGAGCCGTCCACACAATACATTACCCGGATACACCTACATAGTAAGTCGTTTGGAGACTAACCCTCGTGCAACTATACCAGTAACTTTACGTTTCAAACATTGTTTTGGAATAAAAAATAAAACAAGTCATTTTCATGAAATATGTCATTTAAAATTCTTAACTTTAGTACAGTCAATTCGGACAATAACCGTGATTAGAAAAAACACATTTGCTTTAGATAGGTTGCGGAAAACGTTTGTTCGAAAACTATTTCCATACCAAAAGCAATGGGTTACTATTAGCCCTATAAAAATCAAAGATTCAAATATTATTTTTCTGATTTGCATGCATTCAGTTTTTAAATGGTAGCTGTAGAAGCAAACGTATTTTTGATACAATACAGTAAATGCGTGTATGTTGATATTTGTTAATCTATCACCACCACAAATACTACTACTAATAATAATATTAATAATTATTACAGCAAACTCCAATATAATATTTAACACGGTTAACACACTGGGAAAGGCTTGTCTACACTCACCTGGAAACTGAGCTGTGTGGTAAATATGCGAATCCGGTACTGTTTCCAATACCAATTTACCCTGGAAACTACACAGTCTCGGAATACTGTACAAACAGGATCGAGACCATGAAAACTAATTAAAATTAGAGGTCTGCAAAGGACAGGAATTAGCAGTTATTGGGGAACAATTAGTCACTTAAATACACAATTCATTGCATTATATTAGCTTTAAATTATCATAAATAGATTTCAGTGTGTTGTGAAAAAATGGTAATTCACGCGTCCTGTTGTAACCTTTGCTAAAGTGCAAAAACTGTCACAGTTTACTGAGCAGGTGGCGTGTTCTTGAATAATGAAAACCGGTTAACTATTTATAAAGCGAGAACATACGTGACTAAAGTTTAACCACCGCTTAAACTAAATCACGCTTTTGCGTAAACGTACTAAGATGTTACCTGAAACAACTCGCCCGTATACAGTTTATTTAAACATTTTATATAACTTTATCAGAAAACTAGGTTTTGCTCTGTATATTTCATTTTAGACTATTTTAATGCATATAGATGATAACACAGAAACTAAACATTTTTATATTCGAAGACGGGAAAAAATAAAACATAAAAACATCAGTCTTTACACACTAAAACTTTGAACGGGTTATGGAGAAATAAGCCTAGTCGCCAAAATGAAATTAATTTAAAAGAACTTCGCTTTTTGGAGTTCTGGGAGTTACTACCCCTACACCAACCTAGCTTTTACGGAATGGCACATAAACCTCAATTTTTATTTACATTTGTCTGCTTGTTTCATTTAACGAGTATTTCTAGGTACAGTAATTAATTGCCAAGGAGAAGAAAGAAATATTTGTAAAATTAGTACCGTTGTAAAATTTGTTGTTGGTGAAGATGATCATGATGAAAATTATGAAACTTTTCATTTTAAACAAAGTAAAAAGAATCGGGTTTGTCATTTTGTTACTCGTGTTACTCGTGTTTGGTTGTTGAAAATGTTTCTATATTTTTAGCAACTAAAATATCTTGTCTTATAAAACTACATCTTTGATGCTTTTAAGATAGATTTATTAGAATAATCATGACCCCTTACTTAACATCGATTATATTGACTAATACTGTATATCTACAGAATTGTAGTGATAGTAGAAGAGATATAGACTGTTGCAAAAGGTACAGACAAGTCTTTTTCTGTATTGCTTATTGACTGTGCGTTGTGCTATCTTTTCTGTTAAAAGGGAAATAACACCGCATATGGTTTATTGAAATAAGATTAATGAATCCGTGTATTTAAAAATAACATATCTGAATTATCATAAAAATAATAATAATATGTAAAACGAGCACAGGCCTGAAGGATAGAAACAGTAAGAAGTACTTGCTATTTGGGCAGAATTAAATTTTGACAACTACAGTATACTAGCGCCCTCATGTGGACACCTAACTAAAGTGACGGATTGTGTTTATTATTATTAAGACAAGTGACCACAATTATGCTCTCTCTTTGCAAAATAATAGTGCACTGAAGAGCGGAGACAGCTCTTTTAGAATTTATCATGTCAAAATACTTGCGTTTTACATTCCACTGATGTATAAGTCAATTTAAAATAGTTGTGTGTTTTTAATCTTTGTATACTGTACGTGAATTGATTTAACTTGACTCAAAAACCGCCAAACAAGAAACATAGGCCTAAAATACGTCGCTTACGCTAAAAATGCATATAACACTGGAAAAAAACACGTTTTGAGTTAAATGCACGTAGGAAATGTTGACATAATTCTGGGTTAAACAACGTTAAACCCCCACGTGATGCTTTTGAAAAATAAAGTGCTGTCCTCTTTTGAATGTAATTCAGTAGAAATGTTCTTGTTGAATCATCTGTGAAATGTGGTTGCATATTTAAATTTCTGTTTTAACAACATATCACTTATAATCGATAAAACTAATCGGTGTCTATCTATAATCTACAATCTATATACAGCCTATATATACAGTAGTCCCTATATAGTCTATAGTTAGATTTTTAAAAGCAGTTATTAAAATTATACCAGTATAAAGTTTTGTGAGGGTGTTGCACGTGGTTCATAACTCTATGAGGTGATGAGCGCAATGAAACTTGGGATTCGTAAGGAACCCTTATGTCTGGAGTATAACAGAGATCATCTAATGTTTTAAAAATGTAAGGAAGTTGTGTACCACTTAAAAATAAAGTGCCACAAAAATTAACAGATGTTGCAAATATATACCCGAGTACATTTTTGTAATGCATAATAATTTTATTTAATAATAACAAAGCTTAGCTTTCTTTTTTCTGACTGTACTGTAAGACAACCGATGCTCTGCAGATCCTAAATTTTAACACAGCAAATCTTCTATAGGGCAGCATTTAGAATTTAGCATATATATTTGCATGTAATTGTCCTTAACTTTTCTGTGTAGGTTCTATAAATTAATTTAATAATTTCGGTATTGGAGAGATTATTATGTTTCCAAACTGATGGAACGCAACTCATTCAGTCTTTCTGGTCTGCTGCCTTAGCTGCTACATCGTAGGCTGTTAATTTACAGCAATAAACATAACACAACATAACCCAGAACAAAACTTTTCAGCTGTCCTTCAAGAAGAGTGGCGTTTGTTTCAACAAACATAAATGACCAGTGGGAAAGAAAGATATGTAAGGTCATGTATAATTTATATGCAGCCTTATAATTAGCCAATTACGAAATTTACAAGAGACACGTTTAACTGTTTATTGGTTTTACATATCCTGGGGTAAAACAGCGTTCTCGGCATAAAGTACAGTTTGGTGTACTTCTTGGAAATCTGCGCGCTATCACACAATGAGTATCGTACAAGTGTGAGTTTTTAATTTTTCAGTATAAGAACTGCGTTTTGGTGTGTGTACTGTATATATGTACAGTATATGGATGTTACTATAGCTTCGTGTTTTTAGGTTTTCACGTCGTTTGAGATAGATGGAGATAGACAAGTTGGTTTGAGACGTTTACCCT